TTGATTATGTAACGATCTCCGTAAAGTATCTCGTTATGCAGATGACGATAAAGTTTGGAAATTAGAAACAAAAATTAAATAACAAAATAGTAATGAAAATCGAAGATTTTTAAATATTAGCTTAGGTCAGATTTCTTCAAAGTGAAAAACGATTCTTGTTTCTCTAAAATTCATCTGCACACCTTTGTTCTCTTCTCCCGTCTGTTTGCGCTGAAAGAATTCTGCGATTGAATTCATGAGTGAAAGAATGGATGCGAGAATACACGTATAGGTTCATTAAGTGTGTGAACCATAGGGAAGCAAAAAAAAAAAATAACCAAATATACAAAAACAATATCAATCTTGACGTGGTCCACAGTAGTTTGCAGAATATAAGAATTATTATTTTTATTTTTTCACACTGACCAAAACATACGATTCTTTTTCATATATGATAGAATAAATGAAAACCTGGTAAATGCTCGATTCGTTGGACGATCTCTAACAATTTTTCATTTTTCCTTTTTTTTCTTTTTTTTTTTTTTTTCAAATATATTTCGTACGTATCGAAAGTATCTAGAAAAACAATGAAAACAAAAAAGAAGATCGTTCAATGTTTCTGCACTGGCCAAACCGCTACTTTTGTCTACTTGCATCGAGTACTATGGCTGCTGCAATAGTATATATATATACATGCAGTGACATTTTACACATTATAATAGTACCATTTACTGTAATTTAATAGAGTACAGTGGCAATGATAATCTAATCAGCTTTACAGAGAGAAGAAAAAAATACATTAGAATAGAACCTTGTCTCTCAAAAAGCTGAAAGAAAAAAAAAAAAAAAGAAAAAAAACAAAAAAACAAAACGACTGTGTTACTTTTTACGTGTATCTTCTTTTTATCGAAAATGTGCTTTTTTTACTATTGATTATACATAACTTAAAGACCTTTAACGATAGCCTAAACGAGACACAGTCGAATGATAAGTCTATGCACTCTGTGCATTAGAATTCGCTGTATTATTTTAGATAAGTAATTTTTTTAAATTTACACAATTGAAAGTACTGAATCGCCTAACTGCCTAAAAAAAAAAAAGAAAAAAAAAGATAAATGCTGATCATTATCGGTGAACAGCTCAAGAAAAGAAAAGACCAATAACTTTTGCAACGATTCACCAACGATACGCTGTTTTTTTTAAATAATAGTTCTGCTCGAATTTTTAAATCATACCAGATGATAGAGCTAGCTACATCATAAGAAAAAAACATTGTGTCGTTATTAACAGTGATTTGAAGTATTTACATTTGTTTTAACGAATATCTATTTAAATCCATACTTCGATTGAATTTTAAAACGTTGTAAACAAAATTTGTTTTTAAATTTGTGTTTGAATTAACGATCTCTTTTACTTCTTAACGACTATAATATATCTTCTTTAATTGTGATTAGCAGAATGAATAATGATATAAAGATATATTTTATTTTCTATACGTAAATCATGTGAGAAATCACATATCGATATATCTTAAACAGAAATGTTCAACAATCGATCGAATTTCTCTTAATCTTTAATTACAGTATAATTTAATATAAGAGATACATACTAGCGATATCGATTTGTTGAATCAAAGACAAATGAATTTCCTAATGGCTAATGATGATGATGATATGATGATGATGATGATGATGATGATAATGGTTATGATGATGATGATGATGATTATGATGATGGTGGTGATGATAATGATAGTGATGATGATGATTATGATGATGATGATGATGGTGGTGATGATGATGATGTGAGAAACAAGGTTTTAGTGATGTCATGAGACGAAACTCGAAATTTTACTTAGAACGATGAAATAAACATGGGAAAAATTAAAGAACAAAATAGCTCAAAACAGAGCAAATTGATGCAAAATGAAATGCATATCTCTCCGAAATGGTTGGAACAATTTTTAAGTAGCCCGATTCTGTTAGGATTTGATACTAGCTTTGTATACCAATATATCTATATACAATGAAAAAAAAGATCACTATTTATTATTAATTATTAATTATTATTATTATTAATTATTATTATTATTATTATTACTATTACTATTATTACAATACTACTATTACTGCCGTATCGAGTCTCAGTCCAAGAGTACACCGAATACATATGTATCAATCTCTCTCTATTAATGAGAAGAAAAGAAGGGAGGAGATAGAAATAAAAAAAAAAAAAAAAAAAAAAAAAAAAAAAAAAAAAAGAAAAAAAAAAGAAAAGAAGGATCATAAAAAACGTGGCTGCATATTTTGAGACGTCTTTTGAACACGTATAATGAATATATATACACATGCTGATTAAATTTGTCATGTGACATAATTATTCTCTGTACGAGAAAAATGGATGATATACAACCACACAATTTACAGATACCACACAATTTTATCATACATGCGTAACGATACACATCATACTGTATATTTTATGTAAGGCTTTAAATGTTTCATCAAATAACTATTATAATATATCTATATATTTGTATCGATCGTTTTCCCTGCCCTGGTCATAATTTAGGTCCGAAATTGTATCAGCGTCCTAAAATAATTTGTAATTAATGTCCGACATACTTTGTGAAAACTCTTCGAAAAGAATATATTTTCAATTGATCATCTCTATAGCTAGAATTCTCCAGGTGTTTACTATTATAATATATTAATTATAGAAATGTGTAAACAACTACATATTTTCGTTTATTATGCTAAGAAGGTTGAAAAAGAAAAATTACTTTTCGTGTTCTTATAAAGCAAGACGTGCACACAATTACTTAAATCGCCTGTTTTTATAAATGGTATTTTAAAAATGTCATTGAATTGTCATCATGGCGGCTCATGAAAAAATAATTTATTAAATTACATAACTTGAAATCTCCATAGTCGGGCCTTAATTACAGACTTTCCTACGGATCTCCGCTTTTCTGTCTTGTTTAACGTTAACATTATCTTGCACTGTTTAATGTATGTTGAATGCACTGTATCTCTGCAAATCTTTTATAACTCATTCTCGTTTACTTCAAAATTCGAAAAACTGAAATTCGCTGTGTTTCAGTGTCACCAAAGCGTCGCATTTGAAACGAGATTGAGTCGAATTGCAGAGATCAGTTACTTCACTTGTGATGGAACTCGTGATGCATTCAGCTCAGAAATGTGTACTCGGAGCAAACCCTCGTCTCACTATCTATTTAATGGGCATTTGCCATGTCGGAAACATCAGTTACTTCAAATATATTCTCTTGAATATGACATCAACAAACTGACTTGTTAATAAAATATACGTTTTTTAACTTCCAGTTCATAAATGATGAAATTGTCGGTAGAGTGATCAAGTAAAAATATTTCACGCTTTAGTAACACATTTCTGTGCTTGTTGTTAGGTTACAATTTTTCAGCTATAATTCGATGAAGGGTTCACCGAAAGTAGGACCAACAATATCATTCCGTTGCCATGACGAAAAGAACGCGGTCCACGTATACATTCTTTCCCCCCTTAACGTTCTTTCGTTTGCCGAGACCTGCATTGTGGGAGAACAGGACCTACGGTTTCGCAACGTGATACACCATATAATTATGTGTAAAATTGTAAAATTCGTCTCAGGGGTCCGGGCGAAAGGGACATATGTTTTCTTTCTTTCCCGCGAAATGCGGTTGCACTTTGGTCCTTTTTGGTCCCTAGATTCATTTGTGAAAGAAAACAGAAATCATTTTTCGCCCGTTCTCCAAGAACGATATATAGATTGTATTTTTGGCTTATTATTGTAAGACTGACTATGTTGCTATATTAAAGATTGCTTCGAAAATAATTACAGCTATATCACTAGTCTATGTGCCTTCAATTCCCCAAATCCTTTGGATTATACATTTATTTACAAATATTCCATGATTCCAGTGTACCATGTTATTAAACATGAATGTTTAAAAGTATGATAAATCCATTACAATTATAGAACATTACAATTATAAAAAATATAAGCTACATAATCTAATTTCTTACGTATCTTATAAGAGGAGTGTAAGTCCTTCGGGTCACCAATTTAGTTGAAACTTTACAGGTTTATAAATTTCATCATGCAGTTCAAGAATATATATATTATAGCCGCAACTACTCAATAGTTTTTGACATATTTGCGATTAAAGTTTTACTACTTATACAATTATAAATTGTTTCTAAGAATTTTCAAGTGAATTACCAACGACATTCGAGAATTCCTATGCTGGGGGTCTGAGGTTCGCTTCCGTCCATTGTTGGTAGATTTTTTCAATTTATTTTTTATTTTGTATTCATTTGTAAATAAAATTTCTGAATAAAAAAATTTATTTTTTATGCTTTCTTATGTTAGTATATATTTATTACAAAATAATAAGGATATTATACAAGAAAAACACTTTTCTATAGCGATCTTATTTACTACAGAAAGAAAACGAAAATATAAATAATCATTAGATACGGGAAATACAAAACCTATCGCTCATGTAAGTATTAATTATTAAATTAAACATTGTATAAGAACGTTGCCTGTAATTTCAACTTTGCTGTGCAGCTATGAATGTTCATGAATTAATTATAGAAACTTGGAAATTTATTAATTTTCTACTGCCGAATTGATTTATTAAGATTTTAAATTCTTTTAAGATTAATAATTTTTACCGCCTGCGATCAACGCCATCTATGATTTGGGCTCAAAAAGCAAGAAAGTAATAGGAATATAGAATAGGCAAGGAGGTCGTCGAAGAGCTGGTCACCTGACAGACAAGGACAGAGAGGGGATAGAAAAGGATAGAAGGATTCCGACAGAGAAAAATTAATAAATTACTCAATTTCCGTAATTAATTTATGAACTTTTATAATTTCATTGCAAAGCTGGAACTTCAAGCAACATTCTTATATAATATTCGTAAAGAATTTAACACTAATTTGTTAGTTATTAATTATCGTTTTATGGCATCTATAATTTCGTAACGACGACCATCACGATCTTCCGTGAAAATATTTTATACTAAACGAAACTAGATGCAAAATGTTAACAAAAGTGATATGTGATTATGCAGAAGATAGTAATTAATGAAAAACTAATGGCGTCTTCAACAACAATTCAAACACTGCGTAGAGTAATCATTAATAATTAATTAATTAGGGACAAATTTATATCGAAAAATGTATTGGAAAGTACTTGAAGGATCTGCCTTTACGATGCAATTATAAAAGTTCACAAATTAATCACTGATATTGAGTAATTAATGAATTTTCCACTGCCGAATTGATTTATTAAAATGTATCAAGAGCACATAACCAGAGTTAGTAAACTATTCGAGGAACATCGGAGCCATCTTTGATTTTGGACTCAAAACTCGAGTTGGGTAATAGGAACACAGAATGTACGTGGAGCTCATTGGAACAAACACCTCGCTCCATCTGTGTTCTCGTTGCGGAACTTGAGCTTGGAGTCTAAAATCGTAGATGGCACTGATGTTACTCGAACCGAACGACTTACACTCTCCTTGTTAGATATACATTTCAAAGATCAGTACTTACGATTTACATTTTAACTGCGAACAATGATAACGTGCTTTATTAATAGGTTATGTAAATTAAAAATTTTTAATATTTAATTTTTTTATTTAGAAAGATATTTTATGGAATAAATATAGATGATTGAATTATATTTTTAGTATTTATTCGTATAAAGATAATAAAACTTAAAAATATGTTCAACGCACATTAAATGCTCTTCGATTATACATCTTCAGGTGGATAACGTGAGCGAACAACCAACTTTATAAAAATTTGATTTACAAATAATTTAATGTATATTATGATACGTTAGAATTTAATAAAAATTACATGATGTTTAATTAATTTCAAGATCTAGTACTATAATAAGATAGGTACTATATTTAATATCTTTCATTTTATACGCTCGCATATTAAACGATTTATTAATATTACATGTTATTATTTTAAAGCAGACTTTTTTTTGGACGGTATAATTAATGTTATATTCACTACGATAATATTTGAAAATATGCGACAATATTATAAAAGATATTTAATCATCCAATAACATTATATGTTTGATATTTATAGAAACAAAAATGAATATTAAATTACTATTTCGTACACTAATAATTTATTAATTAAACAATTATATCGCACATCTCCAAAATATCAACGATATAACATTTTCTCCTAAAACTTACAAGTTAATTATCTTACTTAATAAGTATCATATTAATAAAAATAGATCTTTGATTGTCAAACAGACAAATAACTGTACGAAAGAATACAGATTTTCCTTAAAGGCAAAATACATTTAAACAAATGCCTTTATATATTTTCAAGTTTCAAAAAATACATGAGCGTGTAATAAAATGATGTTAATATTCATAGTTTCCTTTCTAACCTACTATTTACAAATTGCCAAGCAATAGCAACTTTTCTTAATTGGAATGTAAATCTTTGATTCATAAATTAATAGTGTTCAAGAGGCATTATGAAGGGACAATTTATGAGCACAAATTTTTTTTAAAGTTACTAACATACAAATGAAGTAAAATTTCTCTAGAGAAAAGTTACACTTGAAAAGTAGAACAGAAAATATAGGTTATGTAAATTAAAAATTTTTAATATTTAATTTTTTTATTTAGAAAGATATTTTATGGAATAAATATAGATGATTGAATTATATTTTTAGTATTTATTCGTATAAAGATAATAAAACTTAAAAATATGTTCAACGCACATTAAATGCTCTTCGATTATACATCTTCAGGTGGATAACGTGAGCGAACAACCAACTTTATAAAAATTTGATTTACAAATAATTTAATGTATATTATGATACGTTAGAATTTAATAAAAATTACATGATGTTTAATTAATTTCAAGATCTAGTACTATAATAAGATAGGTACTATATTTAATATCTTTCATTTTATACGCTCGCATATTAAACGATTTATTAATATTACATGTTATTATTTTAAAGCAGACTTTTTTTTGGACGGTATAATTAATGTTATATTCACTACGATAATATTTGAAAATATGCGACAATATTATAAAAGATATTTAATCATCCAATAACATTATATGTTTGATATTTATAGAAACAAAAATGAATATTAAATTACTATTTCGTACACTAATAATTTATTAATTAAACAATTATATCGCACATCTCCAAAATATCAACGATATAACATTTTCTCCTAAAACTTACAAGTTAATTATCTTACTTAATAAGTATCATATTAATAAAAATAGATCTTTGATTGTCAAACAGACAAATAACTGTACGAAAGAATACAGATTTTCCTTAAAGGCAAAATACATTTAAACAAATGCCTTTATATATTTTCAAGTTTCAAAAAATACATGAGCGTGTAATAAAATGATGTTAATATTCATAGTTTCCTTTCTAACCTACTATTTACAAATTGCCAAGCAATAGCAACTTTTCTTAATTGGAATGTAAATCTTTGATTCATAAATTAATAGTGTTCAAGAGGCATTATGAAGGGACAATTTATGAGCACAAATTTTTTTTAAAGTTACTAACATACAAATGAAGTAAAATTTCTCTAGAGAAAAGTTACACTTGAAAAGTAGAACAGAAAAATTATAAAGAATTTTTTAATCCGATCTACAAAAAGAAAAAAGGCACAAAATAGAATATAAAATAAAATTCGTATAGAATAAAAGAGAGATGGAATGAAAAATATCTAAATTTGTAAAATTTATTAAATATTCATTTAAGTAAAAATTATTACTAAAAGATCTAAACAAATTTTTTTGGTGTATTATACTGGTAAAAGTCGATTTCGACTTAGTTTTATTTGTACTTAAAAACTCTTTGCCTCCTAGAACACATTACTTTAACCATTTAGGTTTCGAATTATTAAAGATATACATAGAAGTGTGAAAACATTTGAATAAATCGATATTTTGTCGATTAACAACGTGAATAAAAATACATAATACGCTTTAAAGTTAAAAAATGTATAAAAATATTGTTTTGCTAAAATTTCTATACCTGTATGCTAGATTAAAGTGTCTGATACATGTTAACAAATCACAAATGGACGGCTTCTTTTCTTTGTAAATAAATGGATAAAATGTTATAGTAAAGAAAATAATTATTAGTTGAAATAACTGGAACTTGTAAATTATTTTGCTTCAGATACTAGTCCAGTTTTGCACCAAAATATTTAACAAATTTAAAAACAATACTGTAAAATAAAAATTGAAAAGGCAATATCGAATAAAATGTAAAATCATGGATATTTACTTAACAGTTCCCGGATATGTTAAGTATTAAAATTAACCCACGCTAAACTCTCGAGTTCGAAAATATCTCATCATGACAACCAGGATAGATATTACAACCAAAAAACCTGTTGGTGTAACCAACATCGTGGCAGTGTTATAAATCGGACAGTAAGGACATTGAGAACTACCGCAAACTTCACAAATATTTAGCGTGTAAGTAGGTAGAGCATCAAATATAGTTTCGTTGAAACGCTCTGAAAAGACATAATAAATATTTTATACATAACTTTTATTAAAATCTTAATAACTTAAATTAACTTAATTACGATTATTTACCTGGAGAATAATAATCGTAAACTCTAATAGGAAGATATCGTGACATATTTGCAATTGGGAACCATCTCTCTATCGTGAAATTCACACACGTTTCTTCTTCATCCAAGTAATCAAAATAAAAGAGTACTTTTCTTTCCTGAAATCGCGCTCTCTGAAGATTCCTTACCTGTCTCGATCGGATGTATCTATCCAATGTCTGTTGTTGAATTATATAACCTGTAGGAATAGCTACATCTAACACCGCCATTCCAGAACGCGAAGATTCATTTGTATTTATCCACCTGTGAAAAAAGTCAGTAAGTTTAAGCAAATATTAAACAAAATAAGTTACCATATTTAAATATCGATATTATACCTCTGACAACTAAGATACGAAATATGAGATTGATTTCTACCATGGAAATTTGCTCTGGTAACCAGATCGAAAGACCTAACTGGTGGTTGTGTTTGGAATTTTGCAATATCTACATTATATTGCACTGACATTTGCAGAATTGCATATCCAGCACCTTTTGCTTGAACTCTCACTGTTCCCCATGCTTCTGGTATCTACAATCATAAAATAGAAATTAATTAAAAAAATATATCATTTTTTCAAATATGTACCCACCTCTATTGTTTGAAGCTTTGCAAGATTATTATCATTGACAAATAATGTTTTAGTCTGTCCTGGAAGAGCTGTGGCTTCCACAGTAACAGTCAATGAACTAACATCTCGAATTCTTGATCTGACTGTATAATCCATTAACGCTTTCATCGCCCATGCAGTATCTTGCGTGGAAGCCCAACCACCGTCTGTTAATCTCTGAGCGTTCAACCACTTTACTATAGGCTCTATCATTATTTCTTGTCGAGCAACGTGCACTAAAAGAGCATATGCAGTGGTTTCGATATTTTCTGAGTCGTACATGTACGGTAAACGTGGAAGGAGAAATGGTTTTTGATTCTCTAGCTTATAAGGAGGAAGAGGTACTTGTTCTCTGCCCCAATAAGTTAATCCCCCTTCTCTACGGGCATGTCTAGTTAATATATTAAAGGCTTGTCCAGCTGTAGAAGCTTTTGCCAATAACAGAGCATACGATACTATCGCTATTTCGTAAGGTTTTCCACGGTCCTCCAATAACTTTAGATTTCTTTCCAACCATTTGACTGCACTAATTGCACTTACAGCAACTTGAGTTCCTAAACCCTCAGGCAAATCCTTTACACTTTGCAATGTGATTAAAACGTGAGCTGTAAGACTAATATTTCTATGTGCTATTATATCATTATCATAATTTAGAGAACTGTTCATTTTACGATCAGGTAACCATGCAATTTCATAAAATGATCCTTCAGGTGTTTGATATTTTAGTAACCAAGATACAGCCTGAGCTATTACTTCGGGATCGATATAAAGATAGTTCTCCCATTCATAAAACCGTGCTTCTTGTAAAACACGAGCGCAGTATGCTGTTAGCCAAACGCTCGAAGTAGACTGATTCCAATCGCTGCGGAATAAGCTGAACGATCCATCGGGATTCATAAACGAAAGTTGTCTCTGATAACCAATATTCATGTAATAGAAACTTTCCTTTTCTTGTGTCCTGTTACGTTGATTAATCAAACGCATATACAATGTTGTGTACAAATTGGCAGCAAAACTAAACATATTTTGCTCTGCACAGTCCATAGGCAGATCCATAAGACTTGTGGCGTTAACGGGCATTGTTGGAAAAATAGGACCAACAACATCTCCAACCAAACTTATTACTGCTTTGTTTGACCCGAATACATAGTAACGTTTTTCATCATAAGGTATAATAGGTGTCTCTGTGATGTTAACGTGCATATATTGAAATACGTACGCACGATTACTAAGGTCAAGTAGTATAGACTGATGCCTATGCTGAGGAAGACCATCAGCTTCCACGTGTAAATTACGAGTAACTGAATCTCTTCCAATTACAGTAGTGGCATAAATATGTACTTTAATATCTCCAAGTCTTACTGGTACAATAGGTAGATATACAATAGCAGCATCCTGAGCAGGGATCCAAATAAAAAACTGGTGTTCACCAAAAGACGTACGTGGTTTATATGATTGTACAATACCGTTATCTTCAACATGAACAAATTTATAGTCTTTGGAACCAGCTAAAATTACTACAGCTTCTATATTTTGACGCAAATAATTAAAAACAGAGACGCGGATACCGACTTGCTCTCCTTGCTTACTGTGACTAGGCATTTCCACATTAATATAGAAAGACAAACCTCCCATATATCCAATGGCTTTTGGCAACATACCAAAACCCATGCTGGGAGACATACTAAATGCTGTAACCATCCAATGAACTGGTCTTCTTGGCACATTTATATTGAAAATATGTCTACCATGAGGGCCTATATTGATATCCCTCCATAACCAAACGTTTTCGTATTGTCTTTGTAGTCTGTTAAATCGCCATTTTCTGAACAATGCTATGTCGGTAACATTTTTATATTCACAGGCTGTCTCATCGGTGCCATCATCGCAGTCGTATACTCCATCACATTTCTTGTCTAGTCTATAACACTTCCCAGAGAGACATTCACCATATCCTTGAGTTATATCACAATTGTCAGGTCTTCGATAGACAAAGGCATCTGTGAAGACTACTAATCCAATGTATTCAAACGTTCTATTTGCGTCTATACCAAAAGTTGAAGATGGAAAATAAACAACTTCATCTGGATCACCTTCATGGAACAACCAAGTATGAGAGTGAGTTCCATTTGTATCTTCATCGAAATGAGCCATTTTTGATATGACATTGGCATATGTTAATTCATTTCCTGCTTGCATTGTAAAGAAAGACCTATCTATACCTGAAAGAGCAACATATGCACCTGGTTCTCCATAAATAGCTATTTCAACATTTTCACCTGTCCTGGCTTTTTTATTATTAATGAATACAGTGAAATTGTTACGTGAAATGCCATTTACTGAAAAAGTTAGAGAATCTACTACTACATTGCCATATTGTCCAACATGATATACAACTGCAGTTGCAACAGGAGCCATTTCTGCACTTAGAGGAACAGCAAACGTTTTTATATTGTGTTGCATATTATCTTGTCCAGTTAAAAGTATATTACCTTTTGCCATAATGAGATAATTAAAAGTATCAATATAGAAATTTGTTTGAATATGAAATATCATATATTCTCCAACTTTAGGTTTTTCTGTGGACGTTGAGATTTTTATATGTTGTTGATTCGGCGATTCGTAAGCCAATAATAATAATTCAGCTTGTGTCTTAAAACCTTCTCCATTAGTCAGGTAAGCGAAAACCTTCATAGAAGAGATGTCGTTAAGAATCTGTTGTGCATGATCCATATTATGCTCAAGTCCAAGTTGCTTTCTTAAATCGATTTTGGTAGACCAAATACCTTCATTGTCTGACGAATGTTTTAAATACTGAGTTTCTAATGTTCGGCGGCCACCTGTTTTCATTTCTATATCCGCACGAATTTCCATTATAGCTCCTTTTAATTGTGTTGGTCTCAATGCTGAATTATCATGGAATGACGCAACTAGATTTAAAGTAAATGGCATTGTTGGTTTGAAAACTTGTGGTGTTCCACCTAAAAATCGTACTTTTGTAGTAGAGTTAAAAATACGAGCTGTAGAATAACCTGTAATTATTTCTTCTAGAAATCTTTCACCAACTGTTGCAGTTATAGTGACTTCTACACCACTTGCACTTGGTACAAAATTTAACAATTCTGACATTGGATATCGGAAATCATACGTTCCATTAAAAAATCTCAACACAGGCACCTTATTTTCAAAATAATTTGATACTTTCAACCACGAAGGATAATACTCATCGAAATAGAAGTATCTTTCTGCTGGTTCAGAAGTAGATTCTGTGTATGTTCTATCTAGTGGTTTAAACTGTGCTTTTAAAGTTAAGTTTCCTCTTACTGGTGCTCCACTAGTATAATTTGCTTGGATTACACCATATATGTATGGATCATTATCAAAAAAGAATGCAGGCATTGTAACATTAACTTCAAAACGTGTTTGATAGTATTCTTCAACTAAAAAAGTTTTCTCTTCTACTTGACTTTGAGCTATCACTTGTATAATCCATTCTCCAAAAACTGGTTGATCAGAAAGCTGATATGATAAAGATACTGTTCCTAAATTACTCTGTCTGCTTAACCATCTTCTCATTATTCTTCTATAAGGGTCTAACATATAAACATCTATAGGATTATTGAATGCTTTGAGTTCAGTATTTATTGGTATAGTTCTGAATCGTACAGTTTCTCCTTGCATGTATACAGGTTTATCTAATTGAATAAAAATGGTCATTGCTCTTTGTGAAAATGTAAGTTTGGTTTCATTTGAAAACGCTTGACCACCAGTTAAGCTGTTATATGTTCCTTCCACTTTTAATCTATATTCTCCATCGACAGATGTAGATGGTAATCTCAACATTAAAGTTTCTGGTATACCTTCCTTTACTTCTTGAAAATCTGCTGCTATCTCTACTCTATTTTTCTGAATGGATGCACGTACCACCATTGGTAATGGACTATATAAAACATTCACATCTAATCGATAAATCTGTCCTGGTCTAACCATTCGAGATGCGACCACAAAGTAAGTACTATAAAAATAATTATACAAAAATATTTCAGAATTGTTATATTTTTAATAAATTTAAGTGAATTTTTCTAAATATTATACATATGAATCATTTATTTTGAAAACAAATTTAATGTAGTATGTTGATATTTTTAATTGTTTCTTATTTTTTTATTATCTATAAAACTTACGCCTCTTTTATTATAATACTGTCTGTTGGGTTTCCAGAATTTCGTAACCCGAATCCAGTTTGATCTTTATCGTCGAATCGATTCCAAGGAATGCGCGTTGATTCAGTTGAATCTTGCGAAAACTGACCATTCCCGCAAGCAAAGGTTAAAGCGAAAATCCAGATCAACATTTTCTACAATATAGAACAATTAACTATATATGACACTTTACACCAAATGAAAAGGTTCATTTTTTCATAAAAATAGAGTTGAGAAAGAAACTGTTGTGTTGTGTACTGTGATTAAAACCAGCGGTCAACGCCCAAAATACACATTAACTGACTAGTATTCCACTCTCACTTACCTCGAATGAATTATTTTTTTTCATCAAATCTACATATCACAGTTGATATCCACTGATACACACTTATGCATTCGAAAAATTAAAAAACTTTTTCTTTTAAATATTAAATTCGTCGAACATGCATCAAAAAAGAATTCATGATTAGGAGTGGTCACTTACATACACTCCACTGTATTTGGTTCGTCACAGAAAGTGACTTATGCATACATAGCTTAAGAGAGGAGGTAATACCTACCTATATATGCGACATCTTTAGAAACTGTTTATGTACTACATTGTTAATTATTACGAAACTTTTGTTTCTTTAATTTATTTCATTCGTTGACTTTTTATTTTTTATTTCATATAATAAAATGTGATTATTCGTTACATTTTTAAATTAATACATAAAAATATATTTTTTATTTTAAGTTAAAAAGGAGTAAATTAATACATATAAATTTAATATGTATATTTTTTCTATATTCTTTTTAACGTTTTTTCGCATAAGGATATTCTTTTTATTTATATCAAATTTAGTTCTTCATTGTTCTCATTGTCATTAAATATTAATAACGTAATCATTATTATTGTCCTGTGCAAATATTACCAGCGCACCCAACATTAATACATGTTCTATGTTCTGTAATGAACGTTCGATTGATAACAATGTCAGATTCTTCTTGAACCACTTTTTTGAATCCTTTCCGTCGAGTTCTTTCAACATCAAATTTAATTTCTTCAATTTCTATGTTCGGAATTTTTGGCGGATAATTCGGTGGAATTATATTTGGAGGATATCCATCTTTTTGTTGTAGTTCTTTACAAATCAATACCAAACCAGCTATGTTTATTGGCCTCGGAGGAGTATCTAATTCACTTTCCTCAAATATTTTTTGAGGCAAACAGAATTTTGTACTCGCTTCTGCCGCTCTTCTTTCATCCTCATTCGGATACGGAACTTTAGTGCACAAAAATTCATTAAATGAACCGGTATTCTTAAATAATAATTTTTTTCCCATAATTGAAAAAGCATTAATCGTATATGTTCCAAAACAAGTCAGTCTAAAGAAAATACTTATGTAACCAGTCGGATTATATTCCTCGTCAACAAGACCAAAAGTATTTTTTATTTCATATGATTTTGGTAGATGGTATACATCATTGCTTGCCATCGTCATATGATCGCAGAGACAACCTGGCATTGGAATTACTGATTTTCCTAGCGGATCCTTCATTACTTCTTCGGGACAAATAAGGATTTCTTTGATTTTATATACATCCAATAACAATGGTTTCAATCGCATTTTTTCTATTAGTTCGCTGGAGTTCCTGGTGAACAAATATACTTTTCCGACATTAAAGTCTACGGTATGCATTCCATATCCACGAATTATTTCTTTTGATCTATCTGGTTTGGTTAAGAGAAAATCACTTTGAAATATTCGAAACAATGGCATGTCGATAAATTGTAGATCGACGCCTAATTCATTAGGGAGGATTTTCTGCAATTTCTCAGCGTATATGCTGACAGAATTAATGAATACTTCTAAAATATATAATTTCTTATCTCTAACGGGAATGCAGGCTTTAAAATTTGCGTTCATATTAACGAAAAATTTTACTTAATATTTTTTATAAACGAAAGGGGACAAAAGATAATTAACAAGATCGTTTTATACTTAAAATTTTGTAGGCGAAAGTAAGTTAAATATTTATCTGAAAAAATGATGAAAACAATTGAATCAAAAAGTTTATAATTCGCTAGATTCTCAGTACGACACGTAATCAAAATGAAGAATACATTTAAATTTATAGACATAAGTTTAATTTGTATAATGAACGTTTCTCATAGGTATTTAAATATTATATACATTCATTATAAGTATTGCAACCAATGATTAATACATTTCACATCGAATCGATATTTGTCATAAAATAATATAATTCCTTTTTATATCTTCTTATCCGTTACTTTTTCGATCTTGAATCGGTTTGTAGAATTTGCAAAAAATGTAACAGAATTACATATTCGTATTCGTTTCTAATGTATTTCTAAATACATAATACTTAAATTCATACCATTAAAAATATTGTAGATTATAAACGGCAGTGGAGAGCTGGAAATTTAATTATTTGTTATATATTAAAATCTATATGTTATAAATTTTAACTAAAAAACAAAACATGTCGATATGGTAAAATAAAATCGTCAATATGAAAAATAATATTATTCTTAACTATAAATGCAAAATTGTACCTTACATTTTTTCTAAATGTTTAAGTAAATTATTTGTTCTAATTTCATACCCAAAAATTAATATTTTTGGATTATATATAATCTTATATAAAAAAAATTATCTAAGATATATCATTATTTCTTTTTCTGTTTGACCGTGATGGAGTAGAACTAAATATATTCTTCACGTTTTCTTTCCAATCAGCTAAACGAAATTCATCATCAGTCATTAAAATTCGATCTCTTCGATAAACTTTTTGCTTCACCGGAGAACTGTTATAGCTATCAATAACATTCGTTGTATTGCTCATACTGTAAGTTTGATAGCCTGCGTCTTGTACAGAATTCGAACCACTTTGTTGATCGGAAATACCTAGAATTGCGTTGGTCTGTTGGAACATGCTATTTTCGTTTGTATTCATCTTGCATGAATCAGTCAAGTTTTTAAACGTGCTCTCAGCATTATGATTTTTCAATTCTAAAATTCTATTCTCGTAATTGTATTCAGTTTGAGTTGATTTCTTTTCTAGAACTTTTATTTCTGCAAGGGTATCAACTTGGATACACATGGAATTGTTTTCCAAATTTAAAATGTTGTCAACCTTTTCCTCTGCATTTATTTTATTAAAAGACCGATCTAAAAAATATAATATACAATTATTATAAAAAATAATGTTGTTAATAGTATTTTAGTAAATGCATTATTAATGTGAAATATTTACCTATAGAATGGTTATCTGTTAATTCTTTATGCTTTATATTAGACTGATCTATACTCATATCCGCAGTAAAATTTAAGCGAACAACCGAACGAGATCGAGATTTTATACTTTCACACGACATGTTTATGGTACTATGTATAGGGGATATATTAGTGGGTGATAAATTTCTTACATTAATTTGTGATATATCATGATAACAGTTCCCATTTGGTGATTGCTGAAGAAACAACTTGGCTACATTTCAAAATTTTCATATGTAAGATTAACAAAATTAATTACAAATGGTGTTACTTACTTTTAATGGTGTACCATGAAGTAACATTCCACTTTGTGGAGGACTAGAAGATAATACTAAAGATTCATTTATTTCTACTGGGAATAAACAGTCTTTGTCATTATCTATACAATCTTCATGATTAAAAAACAATTTTCGTCTTAAAGAATTGTTACTGGAATTTGCATCATCACTCTCAACATTTTGTTCCTAAAAACAGAGTAACAGAAGATTTGAAACAAGAGTATTACACCCAAATAAGTTAAATAATGATAGCTTTGCATTTACCTGAATAAATGTAAAGTAAGGTTTCAGAATTTCCATAACATGAGATGGTAATTCAGATGGAAATGTTAATATTGTTTGACTCCAGCCTAAAACAAAATCAAAATTAAAATATGAAAAATATATTTCTTTAATATTCACAATGAATACCATCTTTCTTTGATTTTGAAGACTCTGAATTCAAGTCACTGGTGGCTCTTACAGGAGTATCCACTTCAATTTTTGTCCTTATCTCTTTCCTGTTTATCTCCCATGGGCTTGGAATTATTTCATTTTCATTAAAAAATTGATCAATAGCTGCTTGAGCTTTTATTTCAGTTTCTGGATCTATACAATGTATTTGTTGCATAGGAAACTCTTCTATTTTAGCCGGCTGTATTAATGCTAGTTCATCTACACTCCATGCAAACTCTGAAGAGTGTTGAGATGAATTTGAAACCTGAAAATATTACTAACAATTGTATTCTATGAACTATTACACAAAAATATAAAAAATAATTCCATTACCTGTATTTGTTTTAATGAATTAAATTTTTTAGTTCTTATAATTATCCTAAAAACTTACCTTACTGAATACAGTTGGGCTAATCACAGATAAATGTAGTCTGTTAGATATATCACTTTCAAATGGATTTCTTGCTATAAATTTTGTTAAACCTGATGGAGGTGTAATGTGATTTGGAAGAACATTAAAGCAACTCATATTACTTTGATATGTTGTATGTTTTAAATTTGTTTCATATTGTTTTACAGGAGTTTTATATATTATAGGGCTATTAGTTGTATTTTCTCGTTCGTTCCCATTCTTCATTGGCGTTGTCCATTTCAATTGCTCCATTCCAATGTAACTGTAATAATTCATTACATTCGGTTTGAATTTTAATTATTTGCAATTATTTACATATACATTGAAAATCATTTTTTACACTTTCATTATAAGAGATAATTGAAATATGATTGTTTATATAATTTATAACACATTATTTTTTTAATTGAAATAGATCTATAACTTGTTTAAGAAACTTACATTTCCTACTGCCGATCTTTTAACGTCTTTTTCAAGTTCGTTTTTGTAATTCGTGACTTCAAAAATATAAAAATGGTACAAATATGTGAAAGTTTCTTTTTATCAAATTATCCGATCTTCCTTTTGTATAGAAATTGTTCATTCTAATAATTATATTGCCATAATTTACGAACTTGTTTACAATTTAAATTATTTTAAAACAACGATATAATCACGTGACACAGTCATGTACAATGAATATACTAGAAATGATTGAACTACCAATGTTTGGTTATCAATATTAGTTTGGTACTTATTTCAGACTAGCAACTTTTAGCTATTTTAATTTAATTATATTTAAAATAACTATTTTACTAATTTATGTTGTACTGAATTTTCTTTGTTAAATATATATACATAAATTTGGAAGTCTATTATTTTAAATAAGATAATAATTTTATTATTTATGTTGCATACATGATTATATTCACTAAATTTCTATTACTAAGTTAGTGATATAAATTTAGAATGATATAAGTTTTGTTCCATTTTACATTTAAACGTTGTAGTATGTACCATTCAATAATAGTAAAATATTAATATTATCGGGTATTTTGCTTCATTTTAGATTGGTGAAGTGATATGATAAACTCGTGTAATATTTGTGAAACTTACACATAGTGAATAACTATACATAAAACTATGACTTTGTCGATAGTTGCTTGAAAAACAATTAGCTATAATATTTTACAAGTTTTCATTTTAATATTAGTAATAAGTATGCAGTTATAACCATCGATGTCAATATTTATTTTGTAAATTTTTTGTAAGTTTCACATTATTTATTAATATAATTTACAATTAGTATAAATAGAAAATTAAATAAAAGTAAATCTTATTATTTTAGACATTTAAAAATAATTTTATTATGGAAATACTATTTATATCTTAGTAAAATAAAATTTTATAAAGTTATGATTATAATTTATATATTGCTTTTATTTATGTTAAAAATGTTATACTGTTTGTTATAACCTTTTTACTCATTTTGTAATATTACTTTAGAGTGGAATAAAAATGGTAGCTGGTCCTACGGAACATGGCATACAAGCCGATGTGATTTTTGTGATTGAAGGAACAGCTGTTAATGGAGCTTATCTTAATGACTTGAAAACAAATTATCTTATTCCTACTCTTGAGTAAGTTATTGTTTTTATATTAAATTATATTGAATATTTCTAAATTTCTTTATGAGTGCTTATTAATTTAAGATATATCATATAGGTATTTTAGTCAAGGTGGTATTGAAGATAGAGAATATGTTTCTGAGGTAAAATAATATTTTTTAATTTTTAAATGTTTTTGTTTTTTAAAGTATTCTTTTATTTCTCATATCTAACAACAAAAGTCACTTTTTAGCAGAATAGTACAACGTTATATGGAATAGTAGTATACCATGCTGCTGATTGTTTACCAGCACCATGTACAGAAACTTTTGGACCATATGCAAACCCTCATAAATTACTACTTATTTTAGATAAATTAGAGTAAGTAAGACTTTTACCAATTTTTAATTAGTAACAAAGTTTTTAATCATGTTAAATATTGGTAATATCTTCTTTTGAACAGAATGGTTGGTGGAAAAGGAGAATGTTTTGCAAATATTGGAGAAGGTCTGGCAACCGGGTTACAATGTTTTGAAGATCTACAATTACGGCGAGAGCCAAATACAGCATCACAGAAACATTGTATTTTGATTTGTAATTCTCCTCCATATCAAACAGTCATACAGGAATCATATAAATTTGCTGGACACACCATAGAACAATTGGCTACTCTCTATCAAGAGGTATATTAGATTTAATAATTCAAATAATTACAAATTGAATCTGTAAAAAAAAATTCTTATTTCAGAGGAACATTAATCTTTCCATATTATCACCCAGAAAAATACCTACTTTATTTAAATTATTTGAAAAGGCTGGAGGAGATCTTCAATCATCTCAGACCAAAAATTATGCTAAAGATCCACGACATTTGGTTCTTTTACGTAACTATAACTTAAAAGAAAGGCCTGTTAGCCCATCAATTGGTGGAGCTGTTCATACTACACCAGGCACTGCTGCTCAAATTCCGTTGAGTCCATTGCAGAGCAATGATAGTCCAAATACGAATCAAGTTCAACAAAGTATTGCACAACCAACTCAATCTCAAGGTCCACCATTCAGGAATCAAACTCCTCAAAATATTACTTCAGTTCATCAAGCAGTAGTACCACTAGCAGCTGCACTGAATGCTGGACGGCCTCCATACAATCCTCAAATATCTGCTCCACCAACTTATCATCCAAGTGTAACAGCAAGAGCAGGTCATACTAGGTGGAGACCTTTTGTAACACCGGGAACAACTGGTCCAGCAAATACGCAAGGTAGTGCTTTAATAGCACAATTAAACCAACCACCTCCTTCAATTGGACTCAATGTAACTCCATTTGGACAAAGGATGGACGGTAAAAATGAATAACGCTTCGTAAAATTTTATTAAATATCTTTATTTGGAAAATTAGTGTTCTAATATATGTTTTATATCTTCAGTAAGTAATAGCAATGTTATGGCTGCCAATGCACAGCAACAACAGCAGCAACAGCAACAACAGCAGCAGCAGCAGCAGCAGCAATTAACTCAACAACAACAGCTGAGATTAACAATGCAATTACAGCAGCAACAGCAACAACAACAACAACAAAATGTACAGCAACAAGCTTCAATGCCAATAACAGCTCAACCAACGCATGGGCAAGCTGGACCTCAACTAACGGTATCCTGTGTGAGTCAGTCGGTGCCAACACAAGTACCACAAACAGTTACAGCTTCTCAGACACAGGCATCTGTATCATCGGTTACTCAACAACAAGTAACGCATTCTCAGACACAGGTAATATTTCCTAATAATACTTTTGTGTTATTTAAACTATGTATAAATAGAAAGAAATACTGTGTTTAAATGATAAAGAAAAGATATAAACCATATTAATGTAATTATTAAAGGGTAATGTAACCGCTGGTACAGTAGGACCAGGACCACAAATTAGCACACCACGTGAAAGGCAAACGATATGGCAAGGTATTATTGAATGGGTTGAAAAAGCTAAAACACCTGCAGATGCACAGAAACAAACTAGACATCTTCCGTGTCAAGTTTCTGCGAATTCCAAGGACGGAGACCCAGAATTGTAAGTTTTCGCAAATATTATATAATCGTAAAATATTACGATTAAAATTTAATACATTTTAGAAAAGCCGATACATGGCCTCAGAAATTAATCATGCAATTGATGCCCAAGCAATTAATAGGAAATATTGGTGGATCTTATTTAAAAAATTCTAAATCTGTTTTGTTTCATCCAACACCTTGTGAAGCACTAGAGTCATTAACGAAAGTTATGAATTCAGGATTCGTTAGTATAATGGACCATTTACTTTTTACATAATAATATCGGTAAAGAGTTTTTAATTATTAATAAAACCAATATTTCAGGCGGGATGTGTTCATTTTACTTTCTTACAAGCAACTGCGGCTTGCGACATAAAAGTACTTATTTTACTTTATACGGCCGAAAGAAGAACGTATTTAGGATTTATTCCAAATGATCAGACAGGTTTTGTAGATCGTCTTCGAAAAGTAATTCAACAACAAAAAACATCACATGCTTCTATGAGACAGGGACAAGTAAGTGAAAATTTAATATTAATCAGATTAATTAAAAAAATAAATTATTTAATATAAAATATTTTATATATTTTCAAAAGTATTTAAAAACATAATATTTCAGGCTGGCGCTGCTCAAGGAAATTCAATAACTGGTTCAATGCCTACTACAGGTACTTCACAAGGAGGTATACTTATGTCACAAACAAATACTATAGCTATGGGAGGAGGTCAAATAACTCAAAATGTAGTTTCTACAAATGCTCCACAACAAACATTAACTTCATCTGCTGGTCCACAGAATCAAATAAACATGCAGGTAAAACTTGCCAGAAATGTACAATAAAAGTAAATGGATTTAAACGATTAATATTACAAAAATAATATCTAAATAATTGGGAATTAGAAATAAATGGTATATTAATAAATACTACATAGATATACATAGATATGATGAAAGTAAAGAATTCATTTTATTGATACACTGATAGAGTGGTGGTATTTCTGGTCCCCAAGTGGCTCCAGCTTCTGGTACGATGATAGGACAACAAAGACCACCATTTGATGACATAGAAATAGCTAGGCATCAAAATTTATTAAAAATTCAACACCTACGGCAAACGTTAGAAGCTGCGCAACAACAGGAGGCGCAATATAAGTCGCAACTGGAAGTAAATGTAAGCTAATAAATATAACAACAAAATACGAAAAAAAAACAAAACACGTACTAAAATAAATTTCACAGAATTCACATAATATAATTAACTTTATAGATTCAACAGAATCTAGAAGTAGCACAGCAACAGGAAATGCAATATAAACAACAGTTGGAGGTGAACTGTTTTTTAGAAGTTATCATACATTCAGTTGTATAGCTTCACGCTGAAGAAGAAACGAAATAAATGAATAAAATTTGTTACAGGCTCAACAAGCACAAAGAGCTCTGAATCCTGCCAGTATGACGAATCAGCAAGCAAATGCTCCAAGATTGATGCGGCCTGTTTCGAATATGGGCCTTAGACATTTGTTGCAACAAGTATGGATTATCATAAACTTTTGAATTAATAATTGTACTTAATAATAAGATTTAATTATTTTTTTAATTAAATTTAATTATATTTTTAAATGGAAATGTTTTGAATTTTATAGCCACAGCCTCCGTATAGGCAAGTACTTGGGTTACAGCCACAAATGGTTGGTCCCCGAGGACAAATGACAACACGACCCATGGCTCCTGGTAATCCACAAAATCAACAATTTGAGGATGTCTCTAATTATGATTTTCTTGGATAGATAATATAGACAAATATTTTTTTACAAAAGTTGTTATACTGTAAATATTATATTAAAATAAATTATATGGCAGCACATTTTAAGGTGTAAACAATGCACTCAATAGGACCTATAAATCCATGCATGTAACTTAAATTTTATATTTATATATAATTATGTGAATTAATATGATTTGTGAAATATATTAATTTTTATAAATAAGGTTAATTTCTTAGAAAAAAGTCCATTGTGGAAGTAACAAAGATTTCCGTAAGAAAATAGAAGATAATATTATTATCAGCGGATAAAATAACACGTGTAAAGATACGGCAAGGTTATGCGGCATTCCATTAATTTTAATAGCTTCATGACAACATGCGAGATACCGATTGCTTGAAAGAATAGAAGCTGAAGTCCTTAATATTATATTTGTAATACTGTAAATAAAACGTTGCTGGTAGTAAGTAATTTTATTTTCAATTATTATCGTAGCATGTAATTTATAATCATATATAATTCAAATTCATAATAAAATTGATAACAAAATATCTTGAAATTTAAGTTAATAATCAAAAATAAAGTAAGGCATAATAAAATATGATTTTATTTATATTCAATATTTTGTATTATTAAAATTTTTTAATGCAATTTTATGTGTAAGATTTTTCTCTGCTTTCAAAAATATATTTTTTCATTTATTTGTAATTATTAGTATGATAATAAATTTGTTTTGAAAGTTATAATGTAAATACATAATTTCTTTAATTATAATAAATATACAAAAGTAACATACAAATATAATGAAATATATAATTTCAGTAAAGATACAATACTACTAAGTAAGATGCCCTTTTGATCTCATCTTATACTTCCTGATGTTATTGTAACACAAGCATTTTATTTTGCAATTATTATACTGATAAAGTAAGATAACTCATTGACTTGTTTATTAATCTACTAGGGGGTCTGAATAAATCTAATCAGTTACTAATATTTCTACTTTGTGCTGTGTCTTTTAACTTTTTTATACATTTCATTATTCTGTGATTTTTAGTTCTTATATCATGGATATTATAAGGTTCTACAAAGTACCTGGCCTAAAATGTGGTCATCTTAAAAACAAATTTAAGAATCTTACTCAAATAACACATTTAATTACTGGTTTGGAAACTGAATTGTGTTATTATATTGAAATTAAAGAACCTTTGAATGAAGAAGAATTAAAAACCTTAAAGTGGATCTTAACTCCCCCTTTAGAGTTACATAGTTTGAAGAGTTCAAGTACATTTGATGAAAATTCAAACAACTATCTACTTATTGAAATTGGACCAAGGTATGATAAACATTAAAAAATTACTTAATTATTTTACATTATTTAACAATATTATTTAAAATATAAATTGTAAAATTTTTATATTATTACAGATTAAATTTTTCTACAGCATTCTCTGTCAATGCTGTATCAATTTGTAAATCTATACACTTAAATAAAATAACAAGAATTGAAGTAGCAATTAGATATTATATTAAATACAATGGAGTAATCGAAAAAGAAGTTGAAGATGCTGTGTGTAAACAGTTATAATAATATTTATTTAATATAAGTAATATACACCTTTAACATTTATTTCTTTATTCAGATAACAGATTCACTGCATGATAAAATGACTGAATGTAGATACATAAAACCAATAGAAACATTTGATCATGGGTTTAGACCAGAAAATTGGTTTGATGTTAATGTTTTAGAAGAGGGAAGAGTAGCATTAGAAAAAGTAAACTTAAAATTAGGTATATATTCGTAATAAAACATAGTAAAATACTATAACTACTTAAAAAAAAGTATTAACCTTCATTTCTAATAACTTTAAAAAATTTTAATTAGGTTTAGCATTTGATACTTGGGACTTAGATTTTTACACAGATTTATTTCTCAACAAATTAAAGCGCAATCCAACTAGTGTAGAGTGCTTTGATTTAGCACAATCTAATAGTGAACATAGTCGTCATTGGTTTTTTAAGGGTCGAATCATAGTTGATGGTGAAGAAATAAAGGAATCTTTAATCGATATGATTATAGGAACGCAAAAATACTCTAATCCAAATAATACAATTAAGTTTAGTGATAACAGTAGTGCAATTAATGGTTACCAAACAAAAGTTCTACGGCCAAACAAGACATTTACATGTAGTCCTTTTCATTTGGAAAATGTAAATCAAGATCTGATATTCACTGCAGAAACTCACAATTTTCCAACTGGAGTTGCTCCATTTAGGTAAATAACTTTTAAAACTTCTTAGAAATATTATAATACATTCTATAAATATTTATAGTGGAGCTACAACTGGAACTGGTGGAAGATTGAGAGATATTCAAGGGATTGGTAGAGGAGGATATTATATTGCTGGAACAGCTGGTTATTCAGTTGGTAACTTATGCATTCCAGGTTTGTATTGTTGTATATCTTACTTAATTTTACAGAAATAGAAAAATGTACTGTCTTAATTAAATACCCAATATTTTTTTAGAGTACAATTTACCATGGGAAGAAACAAATGTACTATATCCTAGCAATATAGTTTCCCCATTAGAAATTATTATTGAAGCTAGTAATGGAGCATCTGATTATGGTAATAAGTTTGGAGAACCAGTCATATCTGGTTTTGCTCGTTCTTTTGGTATGACGGATGAAATTGGTATACGTCGAGAATGGATCAAACCCATAATGTTTAGTGGGGGATTGGGTACAATGGATACTGATATGTCTCAAAAAGTCCCACCAGAAAAAGGTCAATAAAAATTATAATTCTAATAATGTAATGTGTATGCGTACATATGCACGTATATGTATACATATGATATGAAAAGAATTAAAGATTATTATGCATTAGGTATGGAAGTCATTAAAATTGGTGGTCCCATTTATAGGATTGGTGTTGGGGGTGGTTCAGCTAGTTCTATTGAGGTAATTTTATATACTAAAGAATAATATTGCAGATTAATTCTGTACTTTGTTAACGATTGGTTAAAAACTAAGAATTGTTAGGTGCAAGGAGATAATAAATTAGAATTAGATTTTGGAGCAGTACAGAGAGGCGATCCTGAAATGGAGCAAAAATTAAATAGAGTTGTTCGTGCTTGTGCTGAAATGGGGCAACAAAATCCAATACTCAGTATACATGATCAAGGAGCTGGAGGCAATGGTAAAAATATTAAACAAAAATTAAAATGTAACTATAGATAGTGATATAATATTTTCATTAATTGATCTTTGAAATTATATTAGGTAATGTTCTAAAAGAATTAGTAGAACCCGCAGGTGCGGTGATATTCACAAAGAAATTTGAATTAGGCGATTCAAGTATCAATACTTTGGAATTATGGGGTGCTGAATACCAAGAAAATGACGCCATTCTTTGTAAACCAGAAGATAGTGATTTACTTAAAGATATAGCAGCACGAGAAAAATGCCCTATTAATTTCGTAGGAACTGTTACAGGAAATGGAAAGATTATTCTTTCAGAAGAGAATGATTGTGATTCATCAAAATATCTGAATGAGAATTATAAATATAAAATGAAGAATCCAGTTGACTTAGATTTAAAATTAGTACTTGGAAAAATGCCTCAGAAGTTAAGTTTAACAATTATTTTAACAATTTAGCAATAATATTATTATTGAAAAATTATGTAATTATTAAAAATTTAATAATATTTAACGAGTAATTTTTGTATATTTTTACAGACTTTTAATCTTCAAAGACAAATAATTCAATTACCTACTATTAAATTGCCAGTAGATTTAACTGTACAAGCTGCTTTGGAAAGAGTTCTACGATTGCCTTCGGTAGCAAGTAAACGATACTTAACTAACAAAGTTGATCGTTGTGTTACTGGATTAATAGCACAACAACAGTGTGTTGGTCCCCTTCATACACCTCTTGCTGATGTTGCTGTAACTGGAATTTCTCATTTTTCTATGGTAAAAAATAGAAATAAATAAATAAAAGATATGGATTTAATAAAAAAAAGGAAAGGAAAAATACATAAATGCAGCTCATTTTACAGGTTGGTATAGCAACTTCTATTGGAGAACAACCAATAAAGGGTCTTGTAAATCCAGCAGCTGGAGCCCGCATGACTGTAGCTGAAGCATTGAGTAATTTAGTTTTTGCACGCATTTCAGATATAAAGGTATTAATTTATACATATTAATTTAACAAACAGTTTAACTAATATTATATAATTATTATCTTTTGTATAATTTATAGTTTATGTATTTAGGATGTTAAATGCAGTGGAAATTGGATGTGGGCTGCTAAATTACCAGGCGAAGGTGCCACTTTATATGATGCATGTTTCGCTATGTGTTCGATTATGAAAGAATTAGGAATTGCAATTGATGGAGGAAAGGATTCTCTCAGTATGGCTGCACGAATTGGAAATGATGTTGTCAAAGCACCAGGGACACTTGTGGTATCTTGCTATGCTCCTTGTCCTGATATTCGACAAGTAAATGAAAAAACATTTTTGTAATCATTTTATTTTCATTTTTATATTTACTTACGTTTTATATTTGTTACAGGTAGTGACACCTGATTTAAAAGGCCCTGAAACTGGAAAATGTAGTTACATAGTATTTGTTGATTTGTCAAATGGACAGAGTCGAATTGGTGGCACAGCTTTGGCTCAAGTTTATAAATTCCTTGGAGATCAAGTACCAGATGTACAACAACCTGATATATTAAAAAAAGCTTTCATAGTTATGCAAAATTTAATTGCAGGTGGGTTAGTAATCAAAATAACTTATAAAATTTATTTTAATATTTTAGTGAAAAAAATTACTAACTTGAAATCTTTTTTGTTACAACAGAAGAAAAGATATTGGCAGGTCACGATATTAGTGATGGCGGACTTATTACGTGCTTGCTTGAAATGTGTTTTGCTGGTATATCTGGAATAAATATAAATATTACTCATAAATCAGCATCTCCCATTGAAATATTGTTTACTGAAGAAGTAGGATGGATATTAGAAATTGATGAAAAAAATCATTATGATGTTTTGAATAGGTTTGAGAATTTTGGTGTACCTGCTTTTGTAATTGGACAATCAGAAGGTTTTGGATTATTATCGAAAGTTTGTATTTTATACATATTTGCAGTAATTTATAAAATTATTTATATCATGGATACTCTTAGGTAATAGTGCAAGTATTAGGAAATACGGTTGTGGATTCAACAGTCTTATCATTAATGAGTCTCTGGGAAGAAACCAGTTACCAGTTAGAACGTCGACAAATGAATGTCGAATGTGCACTTGAAGAATTCAGTAGTCTAAAAGATAGAACTGCACCAGCCTATAAATTAAGCTTTAATCCTGATTCAAGACCTATTGCAGTTCAAAGAAATTTATTTTGTTAGTAAAAATTTGATAAATGTAAAATTTGTTAATATTTTGTTGAATCTAATTTACAGTTTTTGTTATTTCTACAGCGAAAATTGCGGTTGCTGTAATAAGAGAGGAAGGTATAAATGGTGATAGAGAAATGGCAGCATCTTTAATGCAAGCTGGTTTTGAAGTTTGGGATGTGACAATGCAAGATTTGTTACAGAATAAAATCACATTTGATAGATTCAGAGGTGTCATATTTCCTGGTGGTTTCAGCTATGCAGGTAAATTATTAAATCAATCAATATTCATTTTGCGAGGTAACAGAGAATAAAGTATAATTAAATTAAATTAATTTCAGATGTTTTGGGTTCTGCTAAAGGATGGGCAGCGAGCCTTATATTCCATTCGTCTCTTCAAAAACAATTAAAAGCATTTATTTCTAGAAAAGATGTATTCAGTTTAGGAGTATGCAATGGGTGTCAATTAATGTCTTTATTGGGATGGATAGGAAATGAAAACGGTATTATTACATTACAAAAAGAATATATTACAAAATTATTAAATACAATGATCATTTTTAATTGTTTTTTTGTTACAGTTAACACAGGGGAACCAGACATTTTCCTAGACCATAACATATCAGAAAGATTCGAATGTCGTTGGAGCACCGTCAAAATTGATAAATCACCCTCAATTATGTTAAGTGGAATGGAAAACAGTGTCTTAGGTGTATGGGTTGCACATGGTGAAGGGAGATTTACATTTAAGGATAATAAGATTTTAAAGATATTAAAAGAAAGTCATTGCTTACCTATTAAGTATACTGATGATTATGGTAATCCTACCAAACAATATCCATACAATCCTAATGGAAGCATAGGTAATATTTGGTTAATGTTTCTCTTAGATAGGATGTAACGTTAACAATATACAAAATGAATTACATAACATAATTAACTTTATTATCTTCATTGTTAATTATTAATGTAGATTAAACAGTTCAAAAAAGCTTCTTCATCTTTTAAAAGGAAATCTTTTTATGGTCCCTTTCTTTCTCGGTATTTAGTTAGTGTTGAAACTAATTTAAAGAGTTAAAGATATTTTTTTATAATTGTTTTGAGTTAAAGATATTATTTATAATTGGATAAAAAGGGCTTAGAAACAAAATGTGTAAAATAGTTAAAAATATTACAAATAAAAGATTAACAATGGATATAATACAGATGGTTACATTATGCAATTTATTCTATAAAGATACAATATTTATGATTCATTGCAGATGGGATTGCTGGTATTTGCTCGAGGGATGGACGACATTTGGCAATGATGCCACATCCTGAACGATGTTCACAAATATGGCAGATGCCTTGGAAGCCCTTCAGTTGGAAATATACCACTTCGCCGTGGCAACGCATTTTTGACAACGCATATGCGTGGTGCGTAACAAAAAATTAATTCAACGAATTTTTATATTTTCTAAATAAACTATATGATGTTGTTCAACATACAACAGAGTATTATAGATTATAAAATTTTTTATTTTCTACTCTCTTAACAAAGATGGTAACGTTCTTTTATCAAGTATTACAATATATATATATACATATATATATGTATTGTCAATACTTAAATTGTATTATTTAAATGAATTTTGTCTAACTTTAAATAATTGATTCGATGGCGTATATTGTGAAAATTGATTTGTATCAAAAGTTTCTTCTAAATATAAATCGCACCGTAATATCACAACTCCAGAAGGATTAACTTTAACTTTTATTTTTGTTTGTGGCGTTAGAATACCGTAATTCACATATTCATATAAGTCCTAAAAATACAAATAGTTATTTTAAACGTTATTTTAATGACTATCAAAAGAAGTTTGTGTTAGATTTATAATTATACATACCTCTACATTATATCCTCCAGAATACTGTAATCCAAGTTCTTTTAATGTAACAGAGACATCGGATGGTGTACCATCCGTTCTTCTGTTGACGAACGCTATGGCGTAAGAAAAGTAATTCTGATAAACGGGAGTTATTGGTCTTGCCCAAATTTCAATACCTTTGTGCTAAAATTATAAAGAAATTAAAATATATTCATCACATTTAATGTTTATTATTCATATAAAAAATAAGTTTACTAACTTTGTAAATTCGTCGACCTTGTATACCTAATGGATCCTGGTCTATAGCAATAATTTTTCTATTTTGTAAAATAGCTTTGTACTCTGGTCTAATTGTTCGTAGGTCAACAGACATTAATAAAGGTGCCGCTAATATTGCCCATAATGCCATTTGCGTTTTGCTCTGTTCATAACTCAGTCCGAAATTCCCGATAATCAACATATCGGGATCATTCCAATGGCCGGGGCCAGCATTTGGTACAATTGAGTCTTGATTGTTTCCATAATAATCTATAATAGTTTCTAAACTATTCCATGAATCTTGTATATCATCAAAATTTCTCCATAGATTACAGTGTTCTGTTATGGCAGTGTAATTTGGCTAAAAACGTTGTACAACTTAGAAATTTATAACTTTAAATATCTAATAATGTTATAATGATACTAACCTGCATGCCAGCATAAATTTGATAAACTGGCCAACTACAGGAATATACCATTGATCGTCGTGTTTGATTTAAATAAAATCCGAACTCAGGATATCCTATAATTTTGTATAAACTATAAATATAAAACTTTTCAAATAAAGATGTAATTATCAACTGATTTAATTGTACCTCTATCCATCTCAGAAGGAAGGGAATAACATCCATCTAATTTTACATAATCAACATCCCATGATGCAAAGGTAAATGCATCAGTTTCCAAATGTCCCAATATTCCAGGATAACCAGCACATGTATAATTACCGAAGTCCTCATAAATTCCAAATTTGAGACCTTTTGAATGAATCTATATAATAAAAGCAGAACAAAATAAATGTTTCACTTTCATAACAAAAGATTCTAATGATATATAAAAACCTACATAATTTGCAAGGCTTTTCATGCCATATGGAAATCTTTGTCTGTCTGGCACTAATTGACCATTAACATCTCTGTCTTTTTCTAACCAACAATCATCAATATTGATATATTCATACCCAACTGCAGCATATCCCTCGTCTACAACAATATCTGCCATTGTGCGAAAGAGCCGATCACTATAAAGTATGAAAATACATCTTTTTACAATTTTTTATAAATGTAATATAATTATTAAACTGACCAAGAATATAATTTGCTGCTTAAAATGTTGCAGTTAATCATGTACAATTGCTTGAACGGATTATTTCTTTCATTGAATAGATTAAATCTTTCAAAAAATGTTGCTTTTTTATTAATAATTTGATAATAAAATCTTATATAAAAATATAAATTTATATAATGTTCAAGACATAGTTTAAAATTAAGTTATTAAGAGTCATTCTAAAAGATATATGATTCATATATGTATTTGTTTTAATTGGTATAAAATATATGAAATAAATAACTACATTTTTCATTTTATAATTCTAATATTTATATATTTTATATATTTATTTAATATTTTACTACTATTAATGATTAGTAATGAATAATTTATTACTGAACATAATAATCATAAACAAATTGATATAAATGAAGAGAAAATTATACAACTTTGAATATATAAATGATAATCTTAAATAAATAATTAAAAAAATTTAATTAATACACAATACAAAATAAAATTAGGATACTGTTAATAAATTGCTATAAAATTAATAGTGTATTAAGAATTCTAAACAAATATTTAAAACAAAAGAATTTTATTTATATCAAAAGGAAAATGCTTATTGTATTTATGAACATATAAAATTTTTATCCATATCTTTTTAACATATTCTAAGATACTAAAGTATTATTTTATGATTTTTACACATTCATATAAATACATAATAATATTTTACATTCATAAAAATATTAACTATTTCTTTATATCCACAAAAGTATTAACATATTTTATAAGATATTTACTCTTTAGCTTCTTATTTTGTTTCTTACAAAAAGTTGGAAATGTTTTAAATTTTGTATGCTTGTAAGCCAAAAAATCTATAAAACATTATAGAAAATTATATTTTTCAAATTAACATGAACAATTGGAATTTGTAATATTAATCTACAGGTAAAGAGATATATAACAAAGATGCTAATGAAGTTTCACTTTATTCTCAAGTATCACATTATACTATCAAATATTTAAATAGAGAACAAATAATGCTCCAGTCTTTCATACATATATAAATGTTAAATACAATAATTTCAAGTTTCAATTTTAAGAAATTTATAAAAAATGATACAAAGAACAACACTCACCTGATACAATTATCAGGATCATTTTTGCAGTCTGTATTACACCTGAATCTTTCCCAAGCGAGCCAACCCATGGGTGGCGTGTTCACCAAACCATTGTCAAGGGTCAATGTCAAATCTGCCACTGACACAACCAAACACCATATCCATATTATCTGCAACATTCTGCAAAAACACACGTTTTTCTCTAACTATTCAAAACTTTTCACCAATTTTACAAAACACTAAACACTGATTATCTCTGATCCTATGATTCCGGTAACATAATTTAGGCAAATCTGGATAATTTAATAAAAAAGAATAAACTCCGTCGGAGTCGATAAGAGATCTGTTCACTAAGAGCAAAGTAAAGTCTCCATCCACATCCTGCACGGCTGTTGGCAGACTGATCTGATATAAGACCTCCAAGCCAAGAGTACTTTCACTCAATGCCCCATTTCATTTTTACACACAATCACTGCCGTTCGGTAGTGTGAACATTGATTTCCTTTCATACACATAACGAGTTGCTTCGCATGCTAACTTACACATTGGCGTTGTAACTATTACGATACAATTACGCCTATCAAAGACAATCGTAGCTATTTTATCCTAAGAATCTATTTTGTTTTCGACTACTTCGAACAATGATTGTAGTATTTAACCTCGTCACGGAATATATTCTATAGATTTTTTCTATCTTTATTTATTTTCAATTTTATAAATTATCATTATACTGTACCAAATATTTAAACTGAGAAAACTGATTCTTTGGAAATATAATAATCAGAAAGCAAAAAAAACAGTTGCGGCGTAACAATCCGGTAATTAAGTGGATGAATGGTTATTATATTATTTTTGAAAACCTTGACAAATACTAATTTCAAAATTATAGCACATTAGAAATGCTTGTATATGAGCCGCATAGAGGACTATAAACTTGACATTTCAGTGACTGAAAGAAATAATGAGACGTATAGATTTCAATATGAGGCGGACGATCATAACATATAGTATGTAAATTCAATTATTATTAGTCTACAAAATGGTTGAAGAAACAACTTATAAAATATGTACAAATCTTTATCTCATATTTGTTAAACAATGATGGATTACGTAACATTTTTATTAGCTATTTCTAAATTGTTATAAAAAATAATCATTTTGTAAGAAGCAGAAAAGCGTTTAAAAAGCAATCCTTATTTAAAATTCTTGATTTCCATCAGTTTTACAGCAACACAACTTTCCATACTTTCATTTTGATTACTCAATCAAAAATAAAAATCAATCGTGTAAAAATGAATTTCTTTATCGACTGACGATATTATAGTGACATTGATGTACAAATAGTCCGTAATTAAAATTTTGCAAGTTAAATTATAAAAGAAAACAGTTATCGTATAAAATTTTAAAACTAAAGATAAAAAAGAACGACAAATAAAAAATTACATCAAAATTCACATACTCTTGTATTTGTGATAAATCGACGGCAGCATTGATTTAAATAGTAAATTGGTATTATTTTTCAAGAAATTTGATATATCTTTAAACTTTAAACTTTATTCGTGAAGTTGTTAAGTTGCTAACTAACAATCATGTTATGAAATGAAGACAGAGACTACGTTTAAATATCCTTTCTGTTTATATATTCTCAAAATGTCTACTATCTGGTTGACAAATTTATGAGATAAGATAATTTATTAATTAAATCCTTATATAAATTGTAAACAATAAATACAATTAATCGAATTTTGTATACTCCTTATCATAATTTTGGAATTTATTCTGTTGTTAAATTCAAGGTTTCAAAAAGAACTTTGAAATTTAATTGCCGATAAATATACTTACTTCTTTCAGTAAATTTATGACTGATGCGAAATGTGTTTTCACGATCGTTTATATACTTGGAAGTGTATGCATAAGGTAAATGAACCGCAGTTGATTAACTATCATGAAATGTTCTATAGATAACAAATTTTTCTATTTTCGCTTCAAATTCTTGTTCATGATAAGAATGATAGAAATAGTATTGGAATTTTTCTTTTATTTAAATTATAAATCTATCATATATGTTTATAATTTTTATTAATTTAATTCGAAATTATTTTAAATCAATGTGTTAGTCACATAGATTAATTTTAAAACTACAATAGCAATTGTGATAAATTACGAATAGTGTTCAATTAATTTTTATTGTTTTCATTATAATATATAAAATGTTTATGAGATCGCTAGCATTTTATTTATTATATCTTTGTGAGAATCAGTTTACTGTATAATTCTATACTTCGCATTATCGCATCATTCAATACAGTATGCTAAATCTTTCTATTATAAATTATGAAACGTTTTTTTTACTCAGTTATTGTAAAATAATTTAATAATTAAATCCTTCGAAGTAATTGCAAAAATAAAAATTATTTTATATAGATCATTTTTTAAATCATTTGTGCATTATACACCAATGTCAAATTTTTACTGCGTGAGGGAGGATCGAGGGTGGCGCCACGACGCGTCACACCACCAAATCATTCGTTCTCCGTTTCCGTCTCGCTCGTGTCATGCGTTTCTCCGTTTAACCTCTTCCCTGTTCCCGTTCGGCCGTTCCGAACCCCCAACAATCCCGCAGCCACCGTCTAACGCGGGACTGCTGGAAGGACAGTTCATTTTACCTAGGAAAGGAAAACGTGTTCACCACTTGATCGCGCATATTTTTCCTGTGCCGCGTGTCGAACGTCGATCAACTACTTATCAATGGTTCATCGGTTAATCCTGCCGCGCGACATGTCATGTGAATAACTCGTCGTGCGTTTCTGACGTGTTATGGCGTGGAAGTGGTGGTCAACCATTCCAGTGGCATCGTTCTTGTCCGACGACATCGGGATATATTGCCGCATTGACGGCTAGCTGTGTTAAGTTTCCGTAGAAACATGAAGATACCTCCCCTGTCATGACCCAGGTATGCAAACCTTCTGATTTTTCATAGTTTATCTTATATCGCTGTCTGTCAGATTTCGGAAAAGGTGTTACGTTGCATTTCATTATATATATTTCTGTTTCGCGATTCTATATAATATTGGAAGATTAGTAAGATGGTTAATTCGTAAATGTTTCGATGTTTGATATCAACATCGATTAATTTGCTTTTTGTCGGATGTTACAATGATGTTTCATCATATTAACAGATTTAACGAGAAGCTTTTAAGAAAGTACTTAAGTAATCTCAAAATTAATAATTGGTATTTCACGTTTCTAAGTTTAAACAATTTTTTGACAATCATTAAATAAATTGTGGTTGGGTGCATCTGCAATCTATTGGTGCATAAGAGATAGTTTGAAATTTTTCACATGATCAGTGATTTTGGATGCTGTGTTTCTTTGCACACTTTTCATCAAAATTCGGACAATGGTCGAGGCTTGATATTCTCTGTTATCGGGAAGAGATTGAATTCTTTTGAATGGTAGATTTCGGTGCCATTGACGCGCAAGGAACTCGGACAAATTGCATGAATGGGTAATGGCGGCACCTCAAGACAATAATTTTAGGTAGTGACATACATATAGCGCTGCGATCGTTCCATTGATCTGTATTACATCAAAGTCCACATTTCCTGATTCATGTAAATGCTTGACAAATTTCCATTGTTATGCGATAAAAATGATAAAAATTTTGTACTCTCTTATAATTATTTTGATGGCATCTAGGTAGATTGTACTAGAAACAAAATTGTTTAGATAATCAATTATTATTATCTGTTCATTTTTCAAATGACCAAAGTCCGTCACTTTTATTTACAGGTATAAGTATCCACCTTGAATTACTTTTTATTATAGCGGCACGCGTGTGGTATACACGTATGATGTATGCTTTTAACGTGGTACGTAATTTGTGTGTACTACGCGAACCGTAAAAATTATTCAGAAGTAAAAGTGGCTTAATATGTCTGCATCGTTAATATCGCCAGAGTAAAAGCGACTAATTAAAGCGAATCGTAGAATCCGTTTTATACGCTCTTCTTCTCAATACCCGTATCGATTATTTTTCATTTCTGGAATATGTATCGACTCATCAAGATTCTTGCAATAGAGTCTACTAGTTATATTACTTTCCCCATGGACAATCGTACTATCTCTATCTATGTACTCATGTTTTGGGACTTTTTATCGATGCGTATCAAATTTTAAGTGAGTGTTTATGTGTAATTAAGTACGAAGGAAAATTGTTGGTCACGGGCCAAAGAAGCGTCGTTATGCGCGATGACGTTCTTCGTTCGTAGCCCATTTTGGCTCACTATTTACCATATTTTATCTAGGGCGGCGCGGGTAAATCGATACGCGCTACTTTCATTCATGGCTGCTTCCCCTCACACGGCTAGCACGTTGCCTCTGCGTACCACCACTGACGAACAACTCCCACAACCCCCTATCCCCACCATCGGCGTCACCACCACTATTTTACCCATTAGTAGCATGGCTATCTCTGGTGCAGTGATTCTCAAATTTCTTCCCTGTTCTCACTACTCTTCCGTGCCTGATGACGTCACGAAATTGACAATGAGTCGAAAACCGTTCATCGTTAATCAATTACTAAAATTGATCGTACATTATGAGACGAAAGGAAATCAAGTTTTAATAGATTTTTTCTCAGATTTCAAAATAATTTCTTTACCTGCTACTACGGAAAATGAGTTTGAAAATTGTTGCACGGGTGTGCAAGGGAAAAGGATTTTAATGATTCTTTAAAAGTAAAAATAATTTGATAGTTATCAATTCATTGACATACACGTTGCAAACACGATGAAAATATTTTATTAGCATTTTTGCACGGAGTTAAGTTGATCGAGTTTAAAAGTGGAATATATAATTGATAATTTGTTCAATTATCAGGAATGTTTTATCGTTATATTTTATATACGAACCTCTATCCTTTATTAATACTAAAGCTACCACGGTCTCAATGACCGTTTTCAAGCTTTTGATTAAAAATTCTATTCAACGTTATCGCTTTGATAACTTGACTTTGTGATTTTTCTGCTAACATAATAAATAAATCAATTCTCCGATATTTTCTTTTATTCTATTTTTGTAAGGTTCTCCTACTTTCATGTTTTCATCTATTGGACATTTAATCAGTTCTAGTGGATTTAGTGTTAAGCTTAGATATAGACTCCTTGTCTATAATCGAAATTAATTATTATAAAGAAATTTCAAAATAAGACGATATTTCAATTTAATAGAAATTAAATTTTGCAAATTTAAACGTTTAGATATTTAAAAATTTAGAGAGTCCAAATTTCAATTAAATCTTTTATTTTTACAAACATTTATTCTGCATTTAAAAATCCTCTTTCTTTCAGTTTCGATTTCCTATCGCATTCTCATTATGACGATTTCTAGGCATGAGCTTTTAATGTTATTCGAAGGTATTCACAGAATCAAACAGACAGACAAAGCGACCGAAATTATAGATTACATTTCGAGATTCTATTTGCATACTAGGTTAAGAAGGGCTTCTGTTAGTTCGCGTTCAATATTTTATCATGATCAAAAGACATCCTTCGTTAGGAGATCTCTCTTTCTTCGATTCTTCTCTTTTACATTTACCAATTTATAGGAACGATATACGTAACAGGTAGCTTTCAATAGGGCTATCATTCGAGTAGCAGCTTTCAATTGGAACGTAGTACTGGGTAATAAGAGGTACTTGCAATGCTGCTGGATAATTTGACGCGTCTTCTTCACAAATTAGATTAAATCGGGTGCTTAGCTCCAAGTGTTTCGAGTGCGCTCGTTAATCTTTTATTCGCTATACCTTAATTCATTGTTCCAGATATCCGACTTTAAAAACCATTTTAAGTTTAACATTATTTATCTCCTACGACAGAAAGAGACACAAAGCTTTTAAATACTAATTATAACTATGAATCAATTACAACTTATCCAGACGTTTTTGTCTAATAAGATAATAGCATTCAAGAGGCTGTTATATTTAATTGTTGAGTAAGCGAAGAAGCAAGTTGAGAATCAATATTCTGCTTCCACGTTGATATTACTACCACGTTCACCACCTTCGGGACCATCCTCTTTGGCGCATAGTTGCAAGTACCACCAGCACCACCTCCACCACCATTGCCTCTGCTACCAACGTTACTTACAGTGATGGCGATGACACCCTCGCGATCTTAAAGCTTAGTTCCTTCATGTATAACTGGAAAATGTTGCCGAGTATTCCCAAACTATAAAAATAATAAATCATCATATTGAATTCAAAAGAATTGAACTAATTAAGGAAAAGAAACTGTAAGTTTTTATTTTAAATTACCTCCTTTTAAGTTGTATTTTATTGTTTATTGGTGTATTTTAAAAGGCTTTGAAATTTTCAGAAGTGATAGAAAATGTGTTTAGTCAGCCTTCTCATCATGAACGACCAAACTTTGTCACCTTATCCTATTCAATATTATTTTTGGATAATTCAAAGAATTCGTTAAACAAAGAAAAACATCGTAGGTAAAATATATCAACATAATTTTCACTGAAATCATCAAATTGCGCATAAAAGGAATCATAAGCTGCACCATCGTCCATCACGTAGCTTGAACAAAGTGAAACGTATTAATTACTATTTATTTAAATGATTTAATTAAGTTTGAAAGAAATAACAACATATTTAATACTTGTACGTTATAAGTTTTGCAGATACCGTCGAAAAATACCTTGAAAAATATTCGATTTTTGAGGTGTATATTAAGACTAATATATTTCTCTCAAAAATGAAAATATTTCCACACTTTTTTCTTGTCTTATTGTGAAATGTATGTCGTTTTACACGAAAGAAAGAAATAAGCTATTTTCCATAAATAAAAGTTTATAATGAATTTCATAAGAAAAAATTGTATTGATATAAAAATGGAAAATCGATATATACGCTCTAAGGTATTAAAAGGGTTAATACGGTGAGTATAACTCTAAGCGGGGGGTGAAAGAAATTCAGGAAGTTGGCTCGTAGCCATCACTAGCCACCATTGCCACGGTACACCATATCGCATCGCTGACCTATCCCCACTCTTCCGTATCGTCGTCACGTCATTGCTGACGCCCCTTTACACCCCTACAGTCGAGTGTTTCAATCGTCTGTAGCGTTCGTGGCTGGCTGAACCTTTCCACCCTCTACCCTGTGCTCGCTCTTGCCCTGACCCTTCTTCATCTCTGTTTCCTCGTCATCGGATTACCACCCTCTGCTCTTCTCTCTCGCTCTTTTCCTTTTTTCCCTTTTTGTACACGCGATTCACCAAAACTCTCACCCTTTTTCTCCCTCTATTTCCTTCACCCTTCTATTCTTAGAATAGAATTTATTAGAATTTCACGTGGAATAAACAGCCCTATAATCAGCTTGTTCTCCATCGTTGCAAAGGGACCAGAGCTCGAACTTCCACAACAAGAAACGATCGTTGAAACTTCGATTTTAAAGCGAACTTTAGGGGTTGAATTATAGGAACAGATTAGCTAAGTAGAGTATATCGGCAGTAAATGAGAGAAGAAACGTAAGGTGATCGACTTAATTAAAATTCAGCTGTCGTAGTTTTGCAATTCGCATTTTGCGAAGGTGCTGGTTAGGACTGGTCAGGCTCTCCTTTGAGAAAGGTTCTTCAGCTTGGTATCTTCTTTTAGGAACCGGGGCCACGTTTGGAGACGATTGCGTATGAATACCTGAATTGGAAGTAATACATTAATACGTTTATACCTTAATTCGAATATTTAGAAGTATAAATTTAAAAATGCGGACACGCAATTTTCGAATATTTTTCTACTTTATCTTTGTACTTTGTTAATCGTAATTTATTTCTATCAAAACTCTGATGATCTTTGATACTAATGATTGTAGATAAGAGTAACAGTTTATCAGCGAAAGAGAATTTTATTCAAAAGGTCGGTATGGAAAAAGAAATATCTTTTTTCGAA